AGCGAAAACAAGGCTGAACCAACACCAGAAAGTTAAGGAGACTGCGGCCAAACAGAAAGCCACACCATATTGGTCTTCCTATCTACGATCTAAATAGTTATTAATTAATAACAGTTATTCTATAACCAGTATTTAGAAAAATACTATTTTAATGGATAGAACAACTTTTGTTAGAAAGATTTTGAACTAGGCAAGGAGGTTCAAGCCTTCTCGTAAGTCCTGGAACTGCATTCATGTCATCTTTCAAGAAAGTTTAGAAGTGAGGATTAAACATAATTTTGAACCCATAAGTGTGTCGTATAGGTGTTAGGCTAAATAAATCAGACAGCAGGCTTCTAGAAAATGAAACTGAATGTCTTAAAAATTTTTACACTTGTGACACCAGCTCCTAGCCGGCTTCGACAAAGGATGCTTCTGGATAGGAAACATTATAGGCGCAAAGATTGCAATAATATTTGGCTAAAGGGCAGTCATGTCAAGTAAGAATTTTCTTTAGGGCTCAATAACAAAATAGTAACTGCCTCACAAATGGGATGATTCATAATACCCAAAGGCATGACGTACCTATTTTGCCGTGATTTCTCGAAAAGGTGACTGGGCTTCGTTTGTGCCTCTGCATCAGAATTCGTGACCACATCTTCATTCCTTTTCAGTAAACTGTCTGCCTTCTCTTCAAGGATAGCAAGCTGAGGTTCAGGTTCATTATTGACAGGGGTCTTCCGTTTGGCCACTGGAATCTGCCTGATCTGCTTTATTGGTCCAAGTAATGGTGGAGGTAAAAGAGCTGTGCAAGGAGAAGACGGTCGAAGGGCTAGTGGATTGATGGCTGAGAGACCCGCAAGCTGAGCCTGACAATGGCTGATATGTAAGCCAATGGGCCTTGCTGGAATATCGGACGGTTTGGGCCTACAGTTGCGATAGTGCCAACTGACTTGGCGGGTAGTTGAAGCCCGAGGGGGTGGTGAAGAAGTCTACAACAAAAAATAAGATAATAAGGGAAATAAGCGTAAAGAGGGGATTAAAATAGAGACGGCAAAAGTGGTTCTGGTGAAAGCTGTGCCCTCATAAATGAAAGGCTAGATAAAGAAAGTAAATCATCGCATTAAATCGTACAAACATTACCTAAGAGTCGAGGAATGATAAAATATTATGAACTTGATGCCAAAACTAAAATTCTGTGCTCAGTAGAAAGAAAATCATATAGGAAATGAAGAGAGAATGTGGTATAAATAATTAATTAGTAGGCAGAAAAATTAAGGAAAAAAAGAACAGAATAAAGACAAAAAAAGTTAAGTGTTCCTATAAAAATAATATGAAGCGAAAAATGGTATTCATGTTAAGTAGGTTTCGAAACAGCTCGTATTAAAGAGAATGATTCCTAAATATAAAAAGGAAACAGATTTTAAATTAAGAAATACTTAGGAAGGAGAGAATCATAATTTACCAGTTCAATCTTTAAAAAATGGATAAAAAGCCATAGCAAATTTCCGAGGCCAAATATAATTGCTCGAGAATGTTCTTATTTGAGGTTGATGGTATCGCAAGCACCAAAATTAAATGGTCTATGGAAGCTATTCGGTCTTGATTATTTTTCTAAAGATATCGCGCACCAGACTATCAAGAAATTGGAGCCTGCAAAAGCCTCAACTAAATTTCGCCCCCAACTTGGTAAATGAATAAAGAAGTAAAATGCATAGGATATTTAAGCGTTCTAATTATGAACTTTTCATTATGAACTTTGCATAAAAAATATATAAAATAGTTGAAGAACAATAAAATTATAGTTATATGGAAAGATCAAGCTGATATTTTATAGGAACTTGCTGGCAATCTTTTTTACTAACTATATTGATATAAAAAGTAGAGGGGCCCCACTCATAGAAATTACGAAAAGGCTCCAGGATTATGAATAATTTGAGGCTAAGCTGGATATAATTTATTTATAATGTGAGTTTTCATGAGGAGCAATGGGTTCGTACTTAGTTGCCCTACTTTTTATTTTCATTTACGCTAAACATCTTCGTTCATAAGAATTTCATGTACCTAGACCATTATTCGATTACAAATAATTCAAAGGGGAAATAAGTTAAAGAATAAAGCTAAATGAATACTTTTTTTATGGTATTACTCTCTTAAATGTTTGATAAAATTAAGTCCGTTTTTAAATTTAAACGATAAAAGCCCTATTAAAAACACCAATCCCAGTATTTTACTGCCTTGGAGAAAGTCCCCATAGAATGTTTCAGGTATAGTTTATTTTCACTAATGGATACCTACCGACCGAGTTTGCTCGGACTTAATTCCTGCAACTGCAGCAGGAAGATCCTTTTCATCCGATCGAATAGCTAGACACGAAGATGATATGAGGGGATCAATAGATGCAGAGAAGGAAGAAGAAGAGGAAGATGTTGACGAAGTCATTGATGTACTGTTGGTTAAAAGGTCAGCTTGCGATGCACAGGAAGGATAGCCTACACAAGGTTTGATGGCCTCAGCGTTTTCAACAGACCCAATAGTTCCCGAAGCCAATCTTGTTTGACCCAACATTACTCGCTGAGTCTTCTCATTTGAAATAAGCAACGAAGCCAAGGGAGATGCCGGTGTTGGTTCGCTCGGCGGAACGAATTCATCGGATTTGGCAGAAATATGCACATTGGCTAGGCCTGCTTCGTTGGCTAATATCATTTCAGGTTCGGTGCTACCGCGACGCTCTTGTATGATGTTTTTATGACTCATGAGATCTTCATCCCGCCGATTGTAGCGATATTTGCTAGCTGACCGTTCCTGATCATCCAAACCAGAATCAGTTAGATACAAGTAAATTATTCAGACTTACGAGAAAATGGGTGGTGGTATATAACTTTAATAATTTTGTAAGGATAAATAACTCTGAAAAATTAATCAAAAAGGTAATAGTAAAGCTAACATAAAAGTGAAGTAAAAAAATACGATTGATGATGCAAAATAAATCATGGTGAATGCAAAAAGGATACTTTATTAAAATAAATAAACAATAAATCACAGGATTACGTATAAAAATAAATATAATATGAGGCCAAAATCAAAACAAACATAGATAATGGAAACATCAAAGAAAAGGAGGTAAAAGGCGCTGGAATTACCTAAGTTGACTGTTAAAAGGAATAATTTTTATGTGCTATTTGAAAGAAAGTAGACAGGCTAAGGATCTACTATAAAAGCCTATCTAAAGATTACTTATTCTAAAGAGCAAAACGAGAAATACAAGCTACTGAGATTCTTATTGACAGTAAAAAAGTTTCATATCCCTTAATCATTCTGGTAAGGGAACTTAAAGAAAAAAGATTAAATCTAAGCTATTATAAAGTTAGTTATATAGAACTAACTATTGTCTCCATACAATGTGTTGTGCCAAAGCATCTGGACATAAAGATTTAGTGAGCCGAGCTCGTTTCGTCTATAAAGAGTATATTTTCAATTATTATCTATTAGACATGCTGTCAAATAAGGCAATTAACTCAATTTTGAGCAAAAGTTAAAAGATGAATTCAAAATCAAAGTAAAAATTAAATTTGTCAAAAGTAATGGCCTAATTTAGGGCGCAAAAATATTTGGAGTTTATAGGTAATAAAGAAACTTTTCAGAAAGAAATTGGCTCGAATAATAGCCTACTAAAATTGCCGAATAAAAATATTATGGCTTATGATGAAAAGCTTAATTTCACTAGTTACTTTTTATTTTATTTCACATCGAACAGTATTTAATAATTGAAGATATATACACAATAGACTGAACTCTATGGAGTTGCATTGTTCGAAAGGAAGGTTTGTCAGTTAAAGAAACAAATAGTAGGACTTGTTTGACCTTGTTTTAGCAACTTGGTCATATTGGTAGGATGACTTAGAGTAATGTACGTCTGGGAATGTACCACGTCCACTGTCCTACTCTGAAAATGATGATGCATACAATGAACTCCGGATTAGGTGCGTTCCTCTAAGTCTTCCTACCAATATGACCGAGTTGCGAAGACAAGGTCAAAAAACTTCTATACAACGAGAGGAGACTGCGACCACACAAAAGGCCACACCATCTTGGTCTTCATACCTTCGTAATAGTAGGACTATTTATGTTAATTTACTAAAGAAGAACTCCGTGAAAGTATGGACAGACAAGTCTGGAAAAAGCCTGATCAGGTACTCGTATCAGATCCCAAATGCAATTATAGAACAGTTTAAAGAACCAGGCTCAAACAGAGCACCTTAGGCCTCAGATTCCGCATTTTTATATTAGTTAAGCAGGGAGCCAAAATATGAACAAACTATAGATGTCGTAGATGTCAAGAGAAGAGTATTGGATTACGTACTTCGTTTTTTGTATCATTCAATTGCTCGAAACGATTGGCCAATGACATATTCCCATCAGACAAAGCCCTTGTTATTTCAATGGAGCTTAGTTCTACTGAGGATGCAGACGAAGTGGTAGTAATCAACTTGGAAATTTGATCTTTATGCATTGGTTCCAGATAAATTAATCTCAGACCTAATAGAGGAAGTTGGGTGCGTGGTCGCTTGTCTGCCTGTGCGGCGAAGACGGATAATAACGTATCTGGCTGGAGACGGCAGAACATGCGTTGTGTGACCAGTGCCAATAAGGCCCTGGTCTCGATTCTCACCGATGACCCGTTTTCTCCCAAAGAGCAGGAAACAGCAATATCAGGACTCTTGTTTTGAAAGCTTTGTTCAAGTGGATCACCCAGGACACTGTATGGTCCACTGGACTCGGACTGGAAAGGCGAGGGTATGGATGCCGAAAAGGCGTTAATATCTTCAGCAGATGATTGTCTAAGTTGACCAAAAAGTAAAGGATAATGAAGAAAATAAAGAGGTAGGGAGGCGATATTAAGTTTCGAAATGAATAACACAAAGTATGAATGCATTTAAGGGTTTAGCATCAAATTTGTTACAATCTTAAATCTTAGGGTTAAATGTTGCTTGTGTGTAAAATCACTCAAAGATGAGCATACTGGCATATCGATTGAAAGTATGAAGACCAAGATGGTGTGGTCTTTTTTATGGTCGCAGTCTCCTTCCATTGTATAGAA